GCGCGCATAGGTAGGGTGGGGGACCACTCCGACTCTCAGCAACAGCGCATGCGAGGAGGGGGCAACTCCGGTGGCACTTCCGGTTCAGGCTGCAGAGACAGGACACTGTTGGAAAGCTCCTTGTTGGGAACTTCCAGAGGCATCTGTTGGATCACAGACAAAGTGACATCAGCAGCCGCCAAACAGAGTGTGACAAGCAACACCATCGACAGATAGATTAAAACAAACAAACAAAAGACTAAAGTAATAAAACAATACGATGGAAAAGAATCAGATTCCTTTGACAATTTTCCTGTGAGTGTATTAGGCAAGTTTTTAAATAGCTCTTCCATCATCTAAGTAAGCGAAACAAGGCAAAAAGCAAACACATGACAAGACAAATGTCAATTCAAATTTAATAGGCCACTAAATGAATGGTGCGTTTACACAAGTCATTCCCACACATGTCCTGCAGCACCGAGCTTTAATGGACACTGAACAGCTGCAAACACAGACAAGTGATCACTCATGTTACAGTTCTCTGAAGTAGAGGTAATATGCAAATGCATATTTGGTGCTTTGTAGCATCTCTGCAGCAGAGTATATGTAGTGTGTTACAAAAAAAAAAACAAAAAACTAGCAGACATGCAGATGTGTGCAGAGCCTGGATCTGATTTTGTAATTTGGACCCGAGTGGACTCCCACATATGTACATAAGTGGAAAATATCACACCCGCATAAAAATGAGAACACATATATCAAGCGTAGTCAGTCTTCAACGTTCCCGTATCCCAATACAAAGTCTACATGATGCCCAGTTGAATCAATAATGAGAACAGCACAGATAATAAACCGGTGGTTTGGAGTGGACGTCACATGTAATGACTCCTGCACTTTCTACCCAGGCAGCATCCTCTCCTGAACCTCAAAGAATACTTCCAGCAGAGAGATCGCATTTGAAGCAAATCATCTCCTGCTGTGTGCTACGATTGAAAAAGGGCACCTTTGCAAACATTAAGACATGAAGGCATGATTTTATGGACACTATCTGGAGTTCATGTGTGAAAACAGTCGGTTTGGTTCAGATCAAAAAAATTTCGGACGTGTTCCATGCACTTTGGTTTCAAGCACACTCCGGCGTAGCCTTTTTGGTGTATTAATGCACAACTGAGAAACCAGATATAATATTAGTATGAATGGAAGAGCTGAAAAACGATAAAATCAATGTGATGATGTCAACTGTCAAGATAGTGAGTTAATCACTTAGAATCAAAACCATCAAAATATATGTATCATTTTTACACTACTTGACTCAGCTGATAAATTACTTCTATATGATAGAAAAGAAATAAGTATTTATTGCTATCAGTCACTAGAATCTGAGCCCCTCTACATGAGTTTGGTTGCGCTATACGATGACATCACCAAAAATGTATAGTAAATGTTTTATGTGTTGATCTACATGACTTCACGTTTACACGTCTACTTTCATTCATAAAAACTCAAAGTGAACCAAAATGAACCAAACAATGGATACATTGTGTAAAATGTATTTCAGGCGCACTTAACCTCACCTTGCTAAGAATGTCGTCCACAAGCTTCAGGAAGATTTCGTCCACATTAAAATTATCCTTTGCGCTAGCTTCGCAGAAGCGCATTCCACTTATTCGAGAGGCAAACTATAAAACAAGTGAAACAAAACGAGCTCGGGGTTAGAGTCGGCATGGAAACCCAAACTCAATCCTCAGGAGCACAAATTAAACTGAAGAAAGCTCCAAACACTCTTCAAGTGCACAGTTGATTCACTGGCATATTATTAACTCAGTTTTCAGTATGAAGTACATACCTGTCAAACTATTTGTATTACTGATTTTTTGTTTGGTTTTTTTGCTGTCAAATAATCTACTGTTTGGCCTGTTTTATCTCATCTTAGATGTTTAGATTATTCAGATTTGTAAAATACTGGTGGCTGCCAGTACAACCCCTCAGGGTCCTGGTAGTTCCACCAATGGTATCAATTTCAAAATATTATGTCATCTTTTTCTCAAGTTATTGGACTCACAAATTTGTGTGTTCAGCCCGCCTGCCCGGCTGGACAATGGCAGCGACCCCATTAACCTTTTGCGGCTGACGGGTAAAACCTGAAGGTGCAGTGCAGTAATAAGACGGTGAAGGACTTTGCTGTTGAACCCACCCTCTCTCCTTGTTGCCTGGAGATGATGCGATCAGTCTCACAGTCCAGCTTGTTCCCGACCAGCAGAAGCTCTGCTTCCTCTGAGGCGTACTGATGGAAAACAGACCAGAGCAGACACAAGTCAGGAAATCACCGGCTTACCGTCTCACAAAAGTCAAATCAGATTACTGCAGTTAAATCTTCATCACATCATATCACAGACAGGAAAATCTACAGTAAAAAGAGACATATTCCCACACATGGATTTTCAAATACTTATAGTATTATTCAGCACAAATCATTTGAACTGAGGGGCAACACCAAGGCCTAGTTTTTGATCAGTCCCAGTTGGAATTGGTCCCCTTTATAGAAAAAGGCAGAACTGTAGGATAAATATCATGGAATAAATAGATCAACTAAATTCATGTTTCATTTTATAAGAGAAAAGGGAGGAGTTGCAATAAAAAGAAAGAAAAACATAATACACACTCCCTGACACACTGGACTTTAGTTTACCTTGTCAATCATTTTCATCCACTTGGGAAGGTCCTCAAAGGTCTCCTGTTTTGTGATATCATACACAAGCACAATTCCCTTGGCTCCTCTGTAGTATGCTGATGTGATGCTGTTGAACCTCTCCTGGCCTGCGGTGTCCCTGAAAGAGATCACACATTATAAAAACTCAATCATGTGAGAACAGATTAACCCATAGTTTTTTGATTGTGTTTTCCATTAATTAAATTTGATTAATAGGTAACTGGTTTTTAAAGACAATACATAAAAGTGTATGAACATGTAATTTCTGTGGTAATTTAGCAGAAATGTTACATCATAAATTAGTGTGAGAATTTGTCATTTATTGAGATAGTAGACATGCTATTGGTTTTAAAACACTGAATCACTGTCTAAAGCTTCACATCGTCATCTATTAAACTAAACAGAAAAACACACCACTGAAGAGTTTTGTTCCAAAATGTCACTTTTAGACTTTGAAAGAAGACGAGATAAAGTCGATATTAGCAATATAACTGTAGCAATATTAGCTATTACGGGTTATTAAATACGCATGCACTTTATAATGTTGCATTTTCGGAAGGCAACTCTTCAGTTTCATATTTAATTTGAAATATGACCACACTCGGCTGATCATCCGAGTCTGGACTGGCAGCATGACAAGCAGTTTGAGCCACACTCACAGTGCATTGTTACTGTACCTCCAGCCAGATAGTCTCTCCCTTTCCCCCTGTGAGTCACAGTCAGGCTTATGAGCAGAAGAGCAGACAGAGACAGCAGCACAATGGCAGGGTTAGGTAAGGTTGGGCGCGGCAGTGTTGGAGCTTGATGTGAGCAGTGCAACATGAGAAACATACACACAGTGATATTCCTCGTCTGACAGGTGGAGGACAGGCAGAGGTGTGAAGGGAGGATGTGCTGCGGTGATGGTGGATGGAAGCAAGACAGATATGTATGGAAATAAGAGATAGCGCTCCCACATTTTAACCAAGCATCGTCACACACTTGCATGTAATAAGTCTGTAGCTGAAGCAGCTCTTCAGTTGTTGGACACCAAATGTTTTCAAAATGAAATCAGAGCCTAACTGAGGTCACAAGACGGCAACAGGATAACAGTATCAAATAACATCTTGTCACTAATTGACTGAGATATGAGACAATATGAGACTGATTTAAGATTTCACTGCATACATCTGTGATTTCTGCAAAGAGCACATTACATTTAGCCATTTAGTGCAAGTATTAAGCTGCAACAGCACAGTATGTAATGTTTGTAAAGTCACTGTATGGTTAACGCTAATTACTCAATGACACTAAACACAGTCTAATATGTACCATTAACTGACTGATAATGTTATTACTAATTATTTTATTAACAAACAGGGATGTAACAAACCTCCAAATCTATAGTTTTGGTTCATGCTTCAGTTTTCCTTTAGAGCAGATAAACAACAAAAAGCTGGAATAACCACCAACCTCAGAACTCCACCACGAAGCAGGATTTGGTGCTTAAGTGACTTCAGGCTTAACCCTGGGTTTCCAGTTTTACATCGCCATGGTAACTAATACACGTACACACGTAACCTGCGCCAAAAGGTCAGCATAAGACCTAGCGACCAAGCAATTGTCTGGAAAAGCCCTTGCACCTCAGTGTGCAGATACTAAGAGGATCTACAGTTTTTATTCAGAACACACAGATCCTTACAGACACTTTTAGTCCTCGCTCGTTTGCTTGCTTCCATTTACCTTTCTTATAAGCCTGAAGCCTAATATTAACTTTACATGCAATTTGAATTTTCCCCTAATATAACTTGGTCTTCTGTTTTTTTAAATACATTGGAATATAGTATTACTCTCATTCTCTGGGTTGGCCATGTGAAGCCAAATTTGTTTTTTTCCTTGTGAATACAGTCAGTTTGACTGGAAAACCCAGAGCTGACTTGTTAAGTTGATAACAACCCTGGTGGATTGCCTGTGTTAGGGTACGATACAATTTTGCAGGCATTTGCATTACGTGAGGAAAATAAAGTCTTCTGCTACAGTAAGCCCAACTATTAGAAAAACCTAATGAAGTGTAGTCTGCATTACATTTCTTATATTTATTAGTACCAGGATCTGTGGATATAACTATTTCAATCTGGGCATGCCACCAAGGACCTTCATCAGAAAATATTTTGAACACATTAGGTCATGCTGTCCTTACTAACCACAAAGAGCTGCTGGTGGACTGGCCAAGGTGAGACTTCACTGACGTCACTCTCAACCACTGATAATAAGGTACACTCATTGCAACCCACTGATGGGGTCTGGATAGAATCACTACTATGCTAAGAATAGCATTTGCTCTGTTTTGGTTTTACCATTTTAACCACACAACTATTATAACATTTTAATTAGGAGGAGGTCGGGGTACTAAGGTTCTAAGCATTTTTTCACCCCCCATGTGTTTATAGGCCACTAGTGCATGTCATTAATTATTGTGCATGGTCTTTCTTTGCTTTCCTTTTTTTTGCCTTCTTTTACCCTTTACCCCTAGATTGGTGATAGTAGATGACTCTGAGCTCCTGTTAAAAGGGAGGTTTTTCCCTCCCACCATCAACAAGTGCTTGGTTAATAGGGGATCATTTAAAAGATAGTCTCACTACCTTACTATATAACATTGAAACAACTGTGGTTCTTAGTTGGTGCTACATAAATAAAACTGAAATAACTTGAGAAAAGAAGATTGTCGGTACTGGAAAATACGTTATTTGTTTCTGTTGATGGATTTCCAACCTGTCCAACCGGTGTACCCCGCCTCTCACCCTATGATAGCTGGTATAGGCTCTAACCCTCTAAACAGGATAAGTTAAAACAGGGATGCATGGCTGGTTGTTTTGTGGTGGAGTGCAGGAACAGATCATGCAGGAGCTTTGACAAATGACACCGACTCAGTGTAACTTCACAAGACAATTTCCTGCTTTATTCTCACATGGTCTCTCAGTTCTCCTAGGTCAGATCTGACAGATTCAGACACGAATCCACCAAGTCTTGACTACATAATTTCACAGCTCATGGGTACAACCTTTAGGAAAGTAGAACCATTTATGTTTTTAGACAGCCGAGGTAGGTCAAATGCATTCACACAAATCTAGTAGTAACAGCTTAGTTGTTAGGCGAAAAGAGCACACCAGCACCTGCAGATACTCAAGATATCAGTAAAGAAATAGTGATGAGATATTCCTAGTAACAACAGCAGTACCTGATATAAACAAGCAATCTGAAACCTCAGACAACATGGTGAGCAATGATGATGTGGTTTGCATGATGATGTTTACTAGTGAGATTCCCACAGGAGACACTGGGAATCTGTACAAAAACATGTTGACATGGAGAAACATGCAAGAAACACAGCTGGAATACACCCAGTAAGCCAAACAGCAGCTTTTGTTAGTGAAGCCTGCATGCTGATAGGACGGACAGAGAGACAGAGGACATGCAACAGGCAGGAAAGTAAAGGAACTCCTCACTTACCATATCTGTAGTCTAATCTTCTTCCCTCTCAGCTCAACCGTCTTGATTTTGAAGTCAACTCCTATGAGGGAACCAAAACATGTGAACAAAGGCACAAAGGCACAAGTTCAAGACTTTGCCCATAAGTTCTAGTGTTAGTAGATTTAATAGATGTGGAGCACTCACTGAGCCATCCACAAAACAATACAAGCCACATTGCATCACCCAGCTCGTCTGAGGCAACTTTTTCAGACAGGCTGGGAGACTGTAAAACTATTCCCTCTGTGGTACTTAATCAAAGAAGCATGTTATTAGTGACACATCTCACACAACTTATGAGCTGTGTCAGGGAGTGACAGGACACAAAATGGAGCTCTGCTATAGCAGCTGCTTCTTTTAGACTATTTTGGGACTGGACACTATGGCTGGCTGCCGGACTGGTCATAGGACTGTTTACCCAGCTGTATGTATAAACAGATCTCATGTGTATTTTTAATCTGCAAACATGACTGGCAATTTGTCACAAGGCAATCTCGTGTTTAGTAAGTAAACATACCAGGGGTCAAATAATCAAATAATTAAAGAATGTGTTTTTATGTAGAAATATGCAACATGTTAGTTCTCTGTGTAGAGATATATCAGTAAAATCAAGGTAGTATTGGATAAGACTACTTCCTGGTTAACATAACCAAAACAGGGTTACTAGAAGTAAACAGTAATTCAGACCCATGATACCTATAATATAATATTCTGCAAATATTATCAGAACAGTAATAAAGTACAATTATTCATTTGTATTTAATTAATAAAAACGCTGTCCTTTAGCAGAAGTCTAAAATCTCTACATGCAAACGTTAAAAAAGCTTAAGGAAGCCTAGTTCATGTGATTGAAGTCAAAGGAAATGCTATTGTTACTTCAGTCACCATAGTCAACTGGCTAAGATACTGTTATCAACATACCTAGCGAGCTACAGCTAGCATTGGAAATAAAGTTTAGTCGCTATGCAAGTGAACTTGGAGGATTTATGGTCACTGAGCGCACCCCACAGTAGTTTACGCATTTCTCCTCGAGTATTTAGCCAGAGCCCTTCTACATGTTGTAGCTGATTAAATGAAAAGTAGTCGAAAAAACTAAATATTTTAATGCCTTCTGTCCTCACCTACGGTTGACTTGCAAGCTTCGCAGAAAGTGTCGTCGGTAAATCTTTCCATGAGACTTGTTTTACCAACACCACGAGAGCCAATAATGATAATCTGAAGTTTGAAATCAGCGGGTCTGGGAGGCATCTTCCTGCGGCGTGACTGAGCCCCCAGAGCGGGGGACGAGTTCGCGGAGCCCCCGCCGCCACCGCCGGCGGCCCTCCGTGGAATATCATACCTCGGATCCATCAGTAATCCCACATTTGTGACTATAAGACGAACAGACAAATAACCCTAACCGGTTACAGAAACAACACAAGCCGATATCTCCAACTTTCTTTTGTCTCTGATGAAGTTTGCGAAAGTTTGTCAGTCGCCGACAGTTGTTGTTGTTCAGCCATTAGAGACCGGGGCCATCGTGATGTCATTTCCGCTTCCGGTGGCTATGATTTCTATTTTTATAAATTTTATAAAATTATAAACAGAGACCGCTTAATCACTTGTAATCAGACTGTATTACTTTTACATGTTATTTTGATTTATTAAACGTTTTCATTAAAAAGGCACCAAATATTAGGCCTGCATGTAGAGAGACATCCTCTTATAATTGATAATGTCAATTATAAGAGGATGTCAGTTATATCAATTATAAGATTTCAGTGCATAATCTGGTCCTTATTAGGTCTTACAATTGGATAAATACAGCTTCAGAAGAATTACAAAACATGACATATTATACCATGTAATTATTTATTTAACAAAAATTAAGTCAAAATGTAAAGGTTACATGGTAAAAATAAGTACACCCTCCCTTCTCCCAAAAGAATTAAGAGGGTAAGTAGAGGTCAGATCCTGATAATTGAATGCCCTTGATTATTTAATCACCAGCAACTTTGAGGATTTCTATAAAAGCAGACGTTTTGGCAGTTTGCTAGTCTGGAGCATTCGGGTGTGTGTTAACACAATGCCAAGAAGGAAATACATCAACACTGATCTTACAGAAACAATTGTTGCTTCCCATCAGTCTTGAAAAGGTTCTAAGTCCATATGAATTTCACTGAATTCCATCATTCTACACTGAGAAAGATTATTAACAAGTGGAAAACATTGATATCAGTTGTCAGTTTGTATCCAGAGTGGATGTCTAAGCAAATTAAGCAAATTAAGCACAGGCTCAGGGACTCTCAGGGAAAAAACAAGAACTACAAATTCCACAGACCTCAGTAAGCATGTTAAATGTTAAAAGTTCATGACAGTACAATTAGAAACAGAGTGAACCAGTATGGCTTGTTTGGAAAGTTTGCCAGGAAAAAGCATCTTTTCTCTAAAAGGAAGACAGCACGGCATTGGTTTGGAAAACTGCCTCAGAATAAACCACCAGAAATCTTGTGGCATGTCTGGCAGAACCAAACACAGCATATGAGCACAAACACCTCACACCAAATGTTAGCATGGCTGCAGATTGGGCTTGTTTCATAACCACAGGATCTGGACTCCTTGCAGTCATTGAGTTGATCATGAATTCTGTATACCAAAGTTTTCTGAAGTCAATTGTGAAGCCATCTGTCTGACTGAAATTGGTCATACAACTGGAGAGTGAGCCCAACATATAACACAATGGCTGACAAAAGAAAATAATAAAGGTGTTGCAATGTCACAGTCAAAGTCTGGAATTCAATCTGATCACAGTTTTCCAATGAGACCTTAAGAGAGCTGTGAATAAAATGATGCCCCGCAAACCTTTATTATTGCTTCAAACTATCCCTATAAAAGGTGCTACTGAATCATGGGGTGCATTCAGTTTTTCACACACAGTTTCTACATTTACTTAAATAATGGCACAATGTAATACATCATGTTTTGTTGTTCAATTCAAGCTGTATTAATTTAAATTTAAGACCTACGAATGAGTAATTCCTTTTTTGCAATATCCTGAGATGTAAAACCTTAGAAAAGGGGGCGGATATACTTTCTTTTCACCATGAAAAAAATACGTTTTCTTTTTGTATCACAACTGAGATTCTTGATCCCTTTTAAAGCCCCTTTAGGTAAATTTGTGATATGTACAAGTTTTATTTGACCTGAGGTTGCAGTCCAACAAACAGGACTGTGAATATCCAATGTAAGTGTGGAGAATCAATGCAAGATGTTCTGTTTTCTCAGAGTGATATAAAACTCTCAGGAATTCTGTTCAAGTATATTTCATTTAATGTTTGGCAAGGAAAAAAATGTAAAGACCACAAGGGAAAGTGCAGTTTGACAAAGAGAACAAAAGAGCACTGTCCTATAAAGTTTGACGTAGTTCTCATACGCATGGCAGACTGACTATCTGGTGCTTTGCCAATGGTATTAACATGTATGGGTTCCATACATTCACTCCGCACACATCTGGAAAATGTTAAAGAGGCCCACTATGTCAAGTTGCTATAGCCTCCTGCGCCTTCACTTGTCCTCAGCTACGAAAAAATAACAAAAAAAAAAGTACAGAACCAGTATATGATTGGAAATTTCTGAATGAAAACAAGAGACTTAAATAAATACACTGCGAACTGAAGATAATCAATGGGCCAATGCCCTGACTTAACAGTGCCTATTTGCTCCCTGATGGAAAGTTAAAGAATTATCTGTGGATGGTTCTTTTGTTGTTCCTGCAACCTTACCAAACACTGGTAGTGTCATGGTGTTCTGTTAGACCTGTTAGTCATGGAGGGTTAAGTTAAGGCCCTTTTAATCCTGCATTAATTTAGCACTCTATTTTTCTTTATATTTACAAAACATATTATCAGCAAACATTAGACTGAAGCTTTGTGAAACTCCTGGAATTTGAAACCACACTCTAGGCTCCCACGTCAGCAGACTTTCTCGTAATTGCTTCCAAATTCATAATCCAGACTTTGAGCAAAGGCTATTGTTGTTTTAAACTGAGTTTATACTTATAAATGACTTGGTTTTAAAGCGAGGGCGTGAAAATTACATTTAAAAATCCACCGTGGTGGTGAACAGAGGGGATATTGCCCCCCAAAAATGTGCTATTGTGGATCTGATTGTATAGTTTTTCACATAAAAAACAAAAGCAAATTTTCTAGCTGCATTACAGTACTAGAGCCAGATTTTCGCATTCCCTGTTGTTGCTGTTTTTTGGTCCAATGCGGCATCCGTAACCTGCGACAGTTAGTGACGTTGCGGCCGAGGAGGAGTTCCTGGTAATCCAAACATCGACGAAGCGACATCCATAGTCGTTTATCAATAACATATTCCTCATAACCGAGTTGATCGATCAACATAATGGCTGCTCAGAAGATAAACGAAGCGCACGAGCACATAGCTAAAGCGGAGAAATGGTGAGCCAGGACAAAAACGATTATTTCCTGCTCTGTACTTTTACTACTCACGTTAGCTAGCTGTAAGGCCACTGTGTATTTTCTGTTGAAAGGTTATGCGACATAAAGTGACTTTATGGTTATTTATCCATCGAATTATAATTGTATTATTTGTTACTCGTGGTGTGTTTACAGCTTAAAAACGAGTCTGACAAAGTGGAAGCCTGACTTTGACAGTGCTGCATCAGAATACGCCAAAGCAGGTAAAACACGAAACGACACTATTGTTTAAAACTGGAGTGTTTTTTCTTATTATTATATTACAAATATATAATTTCACAGTGATCTAACCTCTGTGCTTTGTTTCTAGCTGTGTGCTTCAAGAATGCCAAGCAGTATGAACAAGCAAAGGATGCTTATCTGAAGGAAGCTGAGTACCACACAGAAAACAAAACGTATCCTTTCCTGATCAAAGGAAAGGCACAAGTCTGCATATATTCTGTGCAATCGCTGGCCACTTTGTTAGCGGCTCTTTAAAGCAAACCTCTAATTAGCCAATCAGACAACAGAAACACAAAGCGTGCAGGCAGTGTAGGGTGTAACCGTTTTTAACCCTGCACCCTGGGTCCTGTTATAGATGGGTTCAGGGTGCCTGCTTGTCGCAGATTTAACGGCGTACCATAGTTATTCTCACTAGGGGTGTAACAACTCTAAAACCAAGACCAGCAAAACTCTGGCAAAAATATACACAATATATTATAATTCTGTCATTCCATACTGTGAGACCCACGTGGAGATATTGCGTAGAAATATTGAAATGTCATCAGTTTATAATGAAATAATTAAGTGACAAGATTTGTGGCAAACTGATTATTTTCCCATATGTATTTTGTTATTCAACCTCTCAAGGAAAACTAAGATTTGAGCTAAAACCCTGCCATCAAACCCTGGTAAAACAAATCTGGCTTCGAAGAATTGTTACACCCCTGATTCTGATGGGTTTTCATTTCATGAGCACTTTATACGTTGGCATGGATTCATTTTGCCTTGTGTCAAAAATCGAAGGAGGTCTTAATCCAACAGAGCACCTCTGGGACAAAGTTGAACAGTAGAATTGCATTTGTAAGGTGCTGCCCAGAAATTTGTAACAACTGTAATCCTGCTGTGTCTTCAAGGACCCAAACCTCTGAGGAAGATTTCTAGCAACTTGTTGATTTTTGCTAAGAAGAGTTAAAGTCACTTTAGACTGTGGGAAGTTTGTATCAGGGGTTTAACATTTTATTAATGGAGAATGTAATCTGATTTATTTTAAGCCATATATTTGTTAGCATGACACAGTTTCACTCTTGTTTGGCTATTTCCTTAGCTTGTCCTTCAGGCTTTTTCATGCTGCAAAGTAAGTATAATGCTTAATAACCTGTAATATTGAAGCAGCTGCAAACATTTAAACACCTGTTTGATTCAAACTCTTTTCTTCCTCAGGGCTATTGAACAGGCTGGTATGATGATGAAGGTGAGGGTAACCACTCTAAAACCACACAGTGAAGTCATAATAAAACAGATGGGGATAATGATTCAGTAGCACAATTGTAACTCTGCTGTGTTTGCACTGCATCAGGAACAAAAGAAAATGCCAGAGGCCATCCAGTACATAGAGAAAGCCTGCATGATGTACATGGAGAACGGGACACCGGACACTGCTGCCATGGCTCTGGACCGGGCTGGAAAGTAAAAATAATACCTTAATTTACTCTGCTGATCAGTGCTGACTGGTTATGCATATTTTTTTCATTGGAATGGCGATATGAATGTATTTGATTATGCCCACAGCTAACTAAAAGCTAAATTTTCACTGTGATAAAGTGCTGCAGAAATTTAAGGAAACTCTTAATTCTAATTCTGTAGTGCAGCCGTCCCCAGACTTAAGACAGAGCCTTACCATTTTAAAATATGAACGTTTTCTACGGATCTCCCAAACCTTTAAACACACTATCACATCACACAAGGCTAACACAAAAAATTAGTTTTTGTGTTAGCCTTGTGGGGTTTTTTTGTGTGTGTTTTAAATTATTAATTTGAGCTTCTGCATTAGCAG